AACTATTTTCAGGTTTTGAAGACGACGATTCAGTCGAAACGTTGACCATTAAAGCGGTTCAACCATAACAAACCTGTACGGCAAAGCAGTATTAAACATCAATCCGCAACTTTTAAATACTTATGCCACCTGAATCTTATTTGCGCTTAGCTGAGTTGCGATGTCAGAATCGGGTTGATGTTATGCAATGCTAAATCACCATCTTCGTTTAGGTCCGCAGAGTAGGCAAGCTGCTGGCTAGTCTGCTTCTTCGATACGTAATACCAGGGCACTTCAGGATTTGTTAAAACGCTTCTTGTCATAATGTAACTAACAAAACGTATTTAGGTAATTTGAAATCGACATATTTAGTCATGTACTCGACAACAGTGTTCTTAGTGTTGTTACTCTCCCAGGTACGATATTCTGTTCACGCTTCCTAAGGGTAATTTAGTGATTTCGTGACAATAGAAGCAAATACCATATTTATACAATTGAGCAGAAAGTGGTCAGAAAAGGCGGAAGGAGAAAAATATCAAAGCAGAGCTGGGGAACTTTAGATTTGGTAGGTGGACCGGGCTAGATCGGTATACCTAGAAAATGAACAGTTATTGGGAATTCATGAACATATGAGGGCTGCCCATACTTTTCAGCACGGATGACATTACTCAAGGTATGTCCCACTCTTTTGTTTGGGAATTTTCTATCCCATCCAAATGAAAAGGTCAAAATATAATAATAACATGTTTGGCAAGCATGACCTTTATCCTACTTGAATACTGACGTTTTTGGATAAGAAAGTTGTTGACGAAGTATTAGTCAAGCTTCTGTCACCGGCTACTCTACATTTGATTTCAAAAACTCTTTCCCATACCTTCTGTTTCAGATATGCTCCTGCTTTATCGCTCATGCTGCCTTTGTGCCCGACGTCACTTTTCATGGTGGTCCAGTAAATGTAGGAGGAGTGGTACGGTTGGAAAGCAACAAAACATTACATAGGGATCCGAGCCTGTGTTTCAATGAATGTTCGACTATTAGTAAATGTGTCATCGCGATCTTTTCCGGGGTGAGGCTCATTTAATTCGGTCAACTTTTTCAGATAGTAGGATGCAGTGCCCTTTTTTACAGGCAGTGGAGCCAAAGCAAAATTCGTGCAAACCTTGCCAGGAGAGCCTCTTTTTTGCCTTCCATTTAGTTCTCCGAGTACCAATCGTATAAACAGTGCTGAAGAAATTCCATCTTCTTAGCTTGCCTTATTGACTCTTCAGCTCAGAACCTTCTATGCCTGGGACGTAAATCATTCTCGGCGAAGGTTGAGGTCTTCTACCTCAACTGCTGCTTGTTGTCTCCATCATTACCTCCGTTTCAAAGCGGTCGGCGTAAGGGTATGAACTTCCAGGGATTTGGCTATAAATGTCACGAAACCACTGCTGAGTGCCGACCTGTGACCGCGGGAATTCGGGTGAAAAATATTAATTCACTCTCAGTAGCTAGGTGAACGTGTTGTTATGATGTGGAATCGTGATGGATCTGCTTTCACATAGGTTTAAAGGCATGTTCCCAAATCCATAATGCGATTTTTCATAATTTCAGGATTCATGCACCATGTATGGAGCCTCAAGCAATGGAACTAACTTTACACTGGAAGTGGACTATGTACAATCAAACCCAGACTGCGCGAAGAAGGCTTACTGTGAACCCGTAGTCCTTCAGTACACGCCATTCTATGATTGGGGTCCTTGGGTTTATCCTTAGTATTGAGTGACTATTTTCATTCATTTCACTTGAACGAAGCGCTTGAATTGTTCTCTACAAATTAGCTGTCTGAACAGCGTAGCTTCGCGATAAATGCTTTTTCCGTTCAACAGAGTTTCGACAAATCGTCTTCGATGCTCTCAATTCAAAAACTAAGTTGTGTCAGAAATCAGAAATACCGCCCATCACAGTATCTCAAAGAACTCCGAAGGAAACAAAGTAGGCAAATGATCAATTGCATGGTTTGAAATATATGAAGAATCAGCGTCGACGATATATGGGGACCTAAATGGCAAGAACGATGTGAAGAACTATGAACAGCGTGCTACATTGAGCAAACTGGATGGAGGGGTTGGCATACATGCAGCCCAGCTACAATGCCAAACCCTTTAGGATACCTTCACGACAGCGCTCCCCTCCTCAGGATGTTACGGTTGCTTGTAAAATGAGGTATGTACTACTGCAAATGGATGGATAGATTAATATATAACTGTTGCCCATTTAAACTCACGTCAGTCCCATACTTCGACTAGAGAGTACCTATACTCCTCCAAAACTAAGTTAGCTGTAGAATCCAATGTATAAGCGCAACTATTCCTAGACGAATATGCATTATTTTACAGCTTGTTATCAAGGGGCGAGGTCAGGGGCTCCCAGTTCGGATCCAAATCCGACCGGGACAGTGCACTGCGACCAAGCATCCCTCCCTTGTAAGGGGAATGAAGCATTGAATATTACACCCCATCAACCAATCCTTCCAAGCAGGAATGCGAACTAGGGGATATGCTTAAGGCTTGGCGAGCATCTACAAGCTAGCCAGGATACAGCTAGTAGTTGGTTGGCATAGCAAAATCCGAAAAAGACGTATAGTCTATTCAACTGTGCCAATTGCTTGAACAGTATTGCCCTCAGAACCACCAGGCCACTTTTTTGAAGAATCTTCTACGGCGTAGTACTTAAGACTTACTTGCCTAGCAACAAGAGATTCACTCAGAGGCAGCCTAGTCTCCGAAAAGGTGTAGTTTTGTACACCTGATGAACGGTCAGATTTTGTGTGAAGGATCATTGCTCAGCAGGGATAGTATCGTAGAAAATGACAAATAAGTAATTTTTGGGTCAGGTCCGATTTGGCTAATTAATTCAGTTCCTTTATTACGCATTTTCAAAAAAAAAAAAACTTAATCTATATAATTCAATAATTATGACAAAACAATGAAAGTGGCCTCCAAAATCCTATCTGCACCGAGTTGAGATGCGATGTCAAGAGCAATTCCATGTTATGCGATCTTACCTATCATCTTCGTTCAAGTCCAGAATTCCGCAAAATAAGCAAGCTGCTGGCTTCTTTCTTCTTCATCATTATGTAATAACAAGGCTCATATGTGAACAGGGTTCTCCGATAGTCATGATCTCTCGGAACGCCTTCTGCCACTCTGTAATTTACAGAACTCATTTGGGTGATTCAGACCCGATATACCTCGTCATATTCTCGACAACAATGTTCGTCATGCTGTTCCTCTCTCAGGTGCGCTTTTCTGTATGCGCTTTTTAATAATAAGCTTTTGATTACTTTGAAAATGATAGTAGAAGTCAAGTTTATACAGCTGAGGAGAAAATGCTCAGAAAAGATGGAGGAAGGAAAATGCCAAAGCAGGACTGAAGCGGAAGACGAGGAATCGTAACTGGAGGTGTTTGAGTGCCACTTCGGTTGAGGAACTGCTAAGTGCTCAGCGCCTATGGAAGCTTAGCGCCAGATTTCACTGACTGTTCCAGTGAATCTGGAAGACTGTTCAACTTTATGACTTGATTGGAGCCTGAACCCGACCCTTCCATACAGGCATGCGAACGAAAAGAAAAGGAATACTATCCCTATTTTCGTGTGTGCTTAGGGCTCCGTTCGCATTTTCACACAAGCCAAGATGCAGCTCGAACCTTTCTCCACTTCTAGCTTCGATATTCGGGCTATATAGCAGTCACGTCTTCAGATGTTGGCACAACAAAATACGGAAAAAGTGGTAGTATCTATTCAACTATGTCGTTCGCATAAAAGGACTGCACGAATAATGCCTTCAGAATCACCGGACCACTCTTCCGATAAATCTGCCACGGCATAGTACTTAAGACTCACTTGCCTAGCAACAAGAGATTCACTCTTAAGTAGCCTACTTTCTTGAAGGCTGTAGATCGCTCAAAACAATCTTTCTTTCTTTTTCAAAGGCAGTTGTGTGTTGTAAACCTAAGGACAGCTAGATCTTGAGGAAATGACAGAACAAACCACTTTTGGGTTACAGGTTATTTTTGGCTAATTGCTTCAGTTCAATCATTGCACTTCTACTAAAAAGTCCATTCCGTAACTATCAAATAGTTATGAGCTAGAAAACGGTGAAAACGGCCACCTAAATCCAATCTGCGCCGAGCTGAGTTGCGATGTCAGAAGTGCTTTGATGTTATGCGATGCCAAATCATCTTCGTTCAAGTCCAGATTCCGCACGTTAAGCAAGTTGCTAGCTAGTTTGCTTCTTCATTACGTAATAACTAGGTTCTTCAGAGGTCATGGTACTCAAAACGCTTCTTGTCACACTGTAATTTTTCAGAACTTATTTGGTTAATTCGAACTCGACATACTTAGCCATGTCCTCGACAACAATGCACTTCATACTGTTACTCACTCAGGTACGACTTTCTGCTCACACTTCTCAATGATAACTTAGTGATTTTGTGAAAATTGAAGCATATTCCAAGTTTATACAGTTAAGCAGAAAATGCTTATAGAAGACGGAAAAAGGAAAGAACCAAAGCAAAGCTTGAAAACTTTCCACGTCTCTTATAAAGAAAGATTGAACCATCCGAAAGAAAATTCCTCAGAAATGAGAAGAAAGTTGTATGATTACGATTTTGTTTACAAGCTCTCCACTGGCCCGGAAACCAACAACTATCGGGCGTACTAGAGGTCATAGCTATAAACTATTAAAGGAAAAATTTTCACGGCGGAGTATCGGAATTCTTTCACTCAAAGAATAGTTAGTTTATGGAATGAGTTANTGATGTTATGCGATGCCAAATCATCTTCGTTCAAGTCCAGATTCCGCACGTTAAGCAAGTTGCTAGCTAGTTTGCTTCTTCATTACGTAATAACTGGGTTCTTCAGAAGTCATGGTACTCGAAACGCTTCTTGTCACACTGTAATTTTTCAGAACTTATGTGGTTAATTCGAACTCGACCTACTTAGTCATGTCCTCAACAACAATGTACTTCATACTGTTACTCACTCAGGTACGACTTTCTGCTCACACTTCTCAATGATAACTTAGTGATTTTGTGAAAATTGAAGCATATTCCAAGTTTATACAGTTAAGCAGAAAATGCTTATAGAAGACGGAAGAAGGAAAGTACCAAAGCAAAACTAGGGAAATCCAAAAGTCGTAGTTGGATTGATTTGACTATGTTACTTTCGTTACAGAACTGCTTAGCGCTTAGCACCTTTGGAAGCTCAGCGCCTATTCCAGTGGGTCTAGAAGGCATGTTCATCTGTATAACTTGGTTGAACCTGACCTATTCCAATTGGGATTCCTGAAGAGTAAAACTTCCGAAAGATTCATCGGGAACACGTGAACATACGAAGAGTAGCTGCCCATACTTTTCCGCAGGAGTGGTATGACACATCGTCTTTGTCACGCTCTTTTGCTTGGGAATTCTTGCAACAAAAAATGCGAGTCATAAAAGGAGTAATGATCCATTCAAATAAGAAGTCCAATTAATTTCATGTTTGGAAAGCATGACCATTATCCTACATGAATACTAGCGTTTTAGGATAAGAGGCTTGTTGATGGAGCATTAGTCAAGCTTCTCAGCTGCTCTCTGTCCAAATTCAAAAACCCTTTTGTATGCAGCCTGTTTCAGCTATGCTTCTGCTCAACCGCTCAAGCCGTTACGCTCGATCTTCATGGCGCACCTGTACATGTAAGAGGGGTGGCACCCTTAAAAAGCAACATAACAGCTCCCAGAAATCCAAACCAGTGTTCCAAGGAATGTTCCAAGAACAGCAAATGTGTCATCGCTATCTTTTCTGAGGTGAGGATTTTCAACTCGGTGAACTTTTCCAGATACTAGTGTACACCAACCTTTTTCCCAAGTTTTAGAGCCAAGGTAAAAGTCGTGCAAACCTTGCCAGGAGAGCCCCTATCTTGAGCCTTTCGTTTGATTCTCCGAATACCGATAGTGCTCAGAAGTTCCGTCTTCTTAGCTTGCCTTATCGACTCTACAACTGAGAGCCTTCTATGCCTGGGAAGTGAGTCATTCTTGGCGAGAGTTGGGATCTTCTATCAAAACTGCTGCTTGTTGTCGCATTACTGGCCCCGTATCAAAGCGATCAGCGTAAGGGGGTGAACCTCCATGGATTTAGCTATACATAAATGCCACGAAACCACTGCCGCGTGCCTGCTGTGAGCATGGGAATTCGTGTGAAAAGTTACTTGGTACTGTATTAATTCACTTTTTGTGGCTAGGGGAAAATGTTGTTATTTTGTCGAATCGGACGGATCTGCTTTCTCTTAAGTTTGAAAGCATGTTCGCAAATAAATAGTGCGATTTTTTTATAATTTCAGGATTCATGCACCATGTATGAAGCCTCGAACAAGGGGAAAAACTTTACACTTCCTGTGGACTATGTACAGATTGCCGTAGACGAAACGAAGAGGAATTACTGTGAACCCGTCTCCCTTCAGTTCATATCATCTCATGTATGGATCTGAGTGCTTTTTTCACTACACTCGAACAAAGCGCTTGCATTGTTCTCTACAAACAGCTGTTTGAATAGCGTAGCTTCGCGAAAAATCCTTTTTTTCGTTCCACAGAGTTTAGGCAAATAGTCTTCGATGCCCTCAATTCAAAAACTAAGTAGTGCCGGGAATATTGCCCACCTGGGAACAGTTTCTAGAAAACTTTCATGGGAACAAAGTAGGCTAATATCATTTGCATAGCCTGAAGGAATATGCAGAATC